GGTCCTCTTAGAAGGAGAACAGCACAAACTTGTGTATACTCTATTACTCCTTCTTTTCATAAAGGATCCCTACCCCATAATAGGAAAGTGCACAGCAATGAAGTAATATTTTCCCCAAAGAACAGGTATGTGTAAATATCTGCTGTAGTAGGTATAAAGCAGGACATACTGGAATCTGGCCCTTATTGAGAATCTAAAGCACTGGTATTACAACACATGGTGAGCCACCCTTTCCTTCAACCTTGCCTGGTCACTGAGGATGGAAGGAGGGAAAATGACACACAGCAGCCAGGCCTTGGGGTTCTGGTGAGTCCTGGTCCACACCCAGAGTTGGATGGTGCCCCAGCCTCACCCTGTGTGAGGGAGCCTATAACCACAAAGGAGCATACACTCTACCTCCCAGAAGATGGCACTGAGCTGGCAGAAGGAGTCGCTCAGGGAGTAGTGGAGGAAGGGAGGGACCTGCCACCTGAGGAAAAAGGGGCAGGGGCTCCAGCACCTGGAGCAGGAGAAGATCCCAGACATTCTCCAAAACAACCACACGGCACTTTGTTCCCCTCCCAACTTTCCAGGTCTCTTGGCAACTCTTAACCTTTTCCAAGCCGGCACTGCCTCAGGTAATAAATTATTGTTCCAACTGCAGAATAGATCTCCCGTTCTCCTCAAAAGGCATTTTGATATCAGATTATCTCACCCTGCCCACCCTGAGGTAGGTGGGGCAACAGGTAAGGACGCCACCCCCACCACAAAGGAGGAAATTCAAGCAGAGGTTGGTAATTTACCCAAGGTTATGCTAGGCCCCACCCCAGGGAGGGCTCGGAACAGCTGCTCCCTTCACCCTTTCCCCTCCAGGCTAGGCTGCCTGCACTGAGCCCCAGAGCAGCACTCCCTCTGCCCCCCCCCCCGGCTTCTAGTCACTATCTCCCCTCAGCTCAAATCCCAAGTCTGCTCCCAAAGCCCCAATACCACACATGCCCATCTTTGTAGGACCAGAGGAAAGAACTGCACTGAGAGATCAGGGGGCTTACCCATTCAACGCTTCCAACTCCAAGGACTCCCCACCCTCCTGGGCACACCTGCTGCTCACACACAGTGCTCTTCAGCTCACGCTCAACCCTCTCTTGTATGGGCTCCGAGTTCCCCTCCTTCCCCACACACATCCCCTGCTCTGGACCTTCCACTTCTTTCCATCTCCCTCTCACTTCTTTGAGTGCCCCGTAAATTGCTTCCACACCCCAAAGTGCCACCTAAACAGACCCTGCTTTTGGAGCTC